GTAGTTAACAACCACAAACCCTAATACTATTAAACGTATCACGGGTCGTGAATCACTATGACACAAGATGAATCAGGGTCTATTAAAATCATTATACTACATTTCTCAGTATACAGCCACAGTCACTACGTACCAGTGTCTGGTTCCCCTGACATGTAATAGTGTGTAGTCATACGTACTGCACAATTTTCTTGTTACTATTTGAGCATCAACTCAAACATAAAGGTGACTACACACTACTGCATTGCTCACAAATATATTTATTTCAGACAATGAAAAACACTATAAAAACATAATATAGGGTGGATCATATAACATGTATTGCACATTATGTTTACTTCAAGAGCACGAGCAAGTGATACCATCCATAGGCATAAACTAGTATGGTTATTACAAGAGCGAGATGATGATTACAAGAATGAGATATTTTTTTGATCCAAAGGAGCATTATGCTAGACTCCGTCGAGAATGGGCTTTTCGTGCTAATAAATCATAATTATTATATACAAATCTGAGAGAACTTAGTATACCGATGCCACATAGACTTTCACTTACCATGCCCTAAATGAATAGAGTCAACTATGAAGTAGCAGTTGAATATATACGAAAGGAGAATAATATGATCATATTGTGTAAGTGCCGATATTATATGCTCCAAATAGCGTCTGACATGGTGGCAACTACATTTAGTAGGGAGTTAACAGTTAGTGAGCGATCTAATGTATTGTCTAATGAACAATACCTATCAAATGATTATTTGTTTGATGAAAATTAACTAATATAATTAGTGTCCACCTTATTAAGCATATAACATTTATGTCTATGTCCTATTTACTTTAATCTATATTGAGCCCTTATGAGTTTATTTTGTGTGTTGTCATATCTCAACTTTTTCATTGTCACATCCTGTCATTGTCAATCTATGCAGTGTGTTGTCATATCCAAACTTTTTTATTGTTATTTTGCATCACTGTCAAATCAGTTCCAAACTATGCAGATTGATGTCCTTCCACTTCAATTTTAAATTGCCAAATCGAGCATATATATACTACCATTCACAGTTCTGTAAATGCACCACCACAAAAAAAATGTATATGAGCACATTACATGCAAGTTCTTCTTTACGCAAAGACAAAAATAGTTCATCTTTGAGTAATAAACATGGACACTCAACGGACAGCTCAACAATGATGAACAAAGTCTCTTCTATCGAATCATATACTGACTCTAGTGGTGTAACGTGGTATGGATGAAAACGTGTATTTTGCAATGAGTCCATCAACTCTTATCACTCATTCAGACAAGCTAGACATGTAATTATTGGCTCTGCAATTGATTATCCACCTCCAGGTGCTCAAATCGAACCCACACCAAGATGACGATAGTTATATGACAAACATTGTGGCCTTAAAATATTTTGTCGTTGGCATGAAATTGCGGTACCAAAAGCACATTCGACTGATATTTACAATTCAAACAATCATGACGAGGTCATATCAAGGTTTAAACGTGAAAATGATCAAATACAGTGTTGTCTTGATCGTTTCCATGCACTCGAGCATTTTGATCCTAAATATGTTGAAATTAAAATTTTAGAGGATCTATTACTTGTTTCTGATCCTAAATTTTTTGATTTCTCTTATTTGGATGGTGATGTGTCTCACACTTTTATCTCATCATGTTTATGTGTACTCAATAATCCTTTATGTTGTTTTGAATATTAACCACGTTATTGACATCCTTTTTTTTACATGTATACATTCTGAATAACTAATATTTTTTCACAGCTAAATAAATATTAATGCCAACATGATCAACATTAAAAATAATTTTTTTTTAATGTATGCATTTAAAATTATATGATAAAATTAAAATTAATTATATGTATACGTTTTCAATTTTTAAAGTTTGTTATGCTAAAAAATATAAGTATTTTTAAATGATCAAAATTTATTTATTATTGTAATTAAATTTTTAAATAAATAAAAAATAACTCATCCTCTAAAAATGAGAGGGAGGAAAACAGTTTTAGGTATCATTGTTAGAGAGACAAACATCAATAGGACAAACGAAATATATGTATTTTTAATTTATCAAAATTTATTTATTGAATATAATTAATTTTTTTAATAAATAAACATTTAAACATTTTACTAATAACAAAAGAGGGAGGAAAACCATCACTGAAAACGTCAGTTGGGAGGGAGCAAAACAGTTTTAGGTATCACTGTTCGGGAGACAAACGTCAGTAGGATAAACGAAATTTATGTATTTTCAATTTATCAAAATTTATTAATTGAATATAATTAATTATTTTAATAAATAAACATTAAATATTTTATTGATAAAAAGAGAGGAGGAAAAGCGTCACTGAACTCATCAGTCGGACTGACGTTTTTAGAAGGCGTCAGTGGGTCTGACGTGTTTACTAAAAACGTCAGTCCAACTAACGTTTTTAACCGTGTTATAAACTTGTGTTTTTTAAGCCTAAAAATGTCAGACCAACGAATATTTTTAAAAAGACTTGGGTTTGAAAATTATTTTCAAACCAACCCTTATTTGGGAATTTTTTTTTCAGAAACAATCGGGATGGGTCAAAAGCTCGTAGGTTAGGTGACCAAAGTTGTTAGTACCACTGTCGTGATCCTTTGAACTCTTCTCCACCTATATCAATTGAACCTCAATTATAAACAAGACTCCAAAGAAATGACACCTATGTACAAGAAAGGTGCATCCGTGGTGATAGATTCTAGCACTATCACATCAAAGTGCCACCTTCAGTGGATAGAAATCCTTTAGTAGTAGCATTAACCAGGTTCTTCCTTTTGTCTTGGAATTCCCCACTCCCATTTCTCAGTTTATGTGAGTCATTCTCGTGCAAACTATACTAACCTTCTCTGTATCATTCGAATCTTATCAGATGTTCCGTGGTGATAGATTCTAGCACTATCATGTCAAAGTGCCACCTTCAATGGATAGAAATCCTTTAGTAGTAGCATTAACCAGGTTCTTCCTTTTGTCTTGGAGTTCCCCACTCCCATTTCTCGGTTTATGTGAGTCATTCTCGTGCAAACCATACTAACCTTCTCTGTATTGTTCGAATCTTATCGGATGTTCCCATTGTTCGAATCTTATTGGATGTTCCAAATGGACAACTCCCCAATCCCCACTTTTGGCCCTGGCTTAATAATGATCAATAGAGCTACAAATGAACTAAATGATAGATAAGCAGCTCAAACTGAATGTCTTGGCTCGTTTGATAAAAGAGCCAACCCAAGTAATAGTTCTTTTTAGCTCGTGAACAATGTATATCTACTTTGAGTTTCAGCATGAATCTGAACTCGTTCGAATGCAAGCCCAAGCATGCTTTGTTTTATCAAACATGTCAGGAACAAAATTTGGAAAAAAAAAAATAGATTAACGAGTCAAACTTAAACAATAGGAATGTGAAAACGTGAATACATAAAATAAGTTAATTCATCCCTAATTACGATCTAAACATACCAAATCAGTAGATTTAAATACTTTTTTACTATTCCTTCCAACCCTCCTTCATAATCACAAATACCTCTGAACGCGAACAATTCGACTCACGGTAAATTAGGCTACACTAGCCAAATCCAAATTTTCACAATTCTTGAGTCTCACCAAGTCACGATATAGAGAGAGAATGGATAGCTTTAATCATACTAATTTTTTGTATCAGTCACCATATAGAGAGGGAATGGATAGCTTCAATCGTAGTAATTTTCTATATGAGTTACCATATAGAGAGAGAGAATTGATAGCTTCTGATGATACACAAAACAGACTTATGCGAGATCAACAGTCGAGTGTGTGATAAAGTGTAATTAATGAAAAATTAATAGAGCAATCAATGACAATAATGTAATATCAGATCAACACATAGATATATAGTGGTTTGGTTCGGGTGACTTACTTCATTCTGAGAAACAGCAACAGTGGCTGAGGGACCTTTATTGATAAAGTAAGGTGAACGAGAGAGAAATCAATGGTTAGCTTCGGGAGGGATACAATAGCTAGGAGAGAGAAAAAATATATGTAGGGTGTGTAGAGAGATATAGAGATAGATCAAGAGGTGCCCTTTCATATAGAGAGAGCTTACAATTTATAGGTATAGAGTCTTAGTTAAGGTGGTGACGTAAGGGCAAAGATACTAATTTTTCAGGTAGATATAAAAGGTAAATGCAATAAGAGGTTGTCTTGATTATCGAGAGTGAGTATCCTAATAATTACTCATCACGTGCTCTAAGTATTCTTGGATTTCTTGGACCTTGGTCTAGGTCGAATTCACGAATTGGGCTTAACCTGTCTTTTAGCTAATTTAGGCTTACTAGATTTATTGAGTCTGGCCTAGTTGAATCTAGGTTCATCATTTGCCACCCATTCCCCAAGCCCTTGAGGTGGCAAAAGGTTGAGGGCATGAGAGTCTTTGGACAGATGAGGGTTTCTTGTTCTGGACGGTGGTAGCCTCATTATTTGAAAAAGGTTCCTTGTCCCACATGGTGGTAGCTTATTCAATCTCTTGCTCGTTCGCACCTTGAGAGCTTGTTCTCTAGACTTGATAATCGCTGTGGTTGAAAACTCATTGTCCCATTGGCTATATTCCCATAGTTAGGTAAACTCGACAGCGTGGTCTTCCTCTTTTACTTAGGTATTTTCCCTTAGGCTTTAAAGGGCATTTTTTGGCAAACTCATCATATCCTTTTTTGAGCTAGGGTTTAAAAACCACTATTTCTCCATTTCACACTCCACAAACTACTGGGCAATCTTGAAGGAGGTGACCATAGAGACAAGGGAGAATATGGAGAGTAGAGTCTCGATGTAGGATCAACAGGAAACGCCAATGGCGATGGGGTCATGGCCTAGGCGCTGGGGGGCTCCAGATTGAAGTCGAGTGGCCACAATCTTGGTAAGGGCGAACCTCGTATTGCTCCCAAGAATCTAGGCGGTGCCACAGTGACACCTCAGGTGGCGCCATGGCGGAGCCCAGGGTGACGCCCAGCTCAACTGGTGACGATGATGCCAAACGAGGCTTTGGCTTGGATGTTCTAGCTGCTCGTGATGCAAGGCAACGAAGGGCCTTGATCGGCCCCAAGTAGTTGGTGGCGCCATCAACGTGGGAGGCATCGACAGTAGGGAAAATGACACCATTAGTGTGAAAGGCACCATCAACGAGAAGGAAGGCAGCGCCCATGGCGGGTGGCAGCCAACTAGCGACGCCAGTGGAGTGGGCGAGACTTGTAGGGAGGTGAGCAAGCATAAGCTAGACGGCGCCGATGGGCAAGATGACACCGGTAGAGGCTCGGGCACGATGGGTGACGCTGGTGGAGGCTTAGGAGCGATGGTCGATGCCGATGGAGGCTCAGGCACGCTAGGTAACATCCAAAAACGTGAGGGTAAGTTCAGTGGCGCCTTTGGGCACTTGGGTAATGCGGGGAAACAGCCAGGTAGTGACTTAGAAAAACAAAGGTCAGGAGGTATGTTATCTGGCGCCCATACTTATTCCTTCCTCGACGTAGGTATTTCCTTGGTATTGACTTGATTTTGGCTTTGGCAGGTGCCAGTGGCGGCCCCGGTGCATTGGGCGAAGCCATGGAGACATTAGGCGTAGGTGAGGGTACGATAGGCAGCAGCGCCAACTGTAGGAACGGCTCGGGCAGCTGTGTCTCCTGTCTAGGCGATGGTGGCAACTCTAATGGGATCCTGAGACTGGGTGGATCCCTTCTCGGTAGACCGGGCACTGGGAGAGTGGACCCATGCATGGGGGAGACAGACTTGGGCACCAAGACCCCACTTCGAGAGGTAGATGGACCAGGTTATAGAGGGGATCGAGGTACTGCCTTTTGACTGTGTAACTTAACCTTGTTGACTTTTTTGTTAATCCTGATGCCCATTCATCTTCATTGCCTTTTATTGTTGTGCCAAGTCTGAGCGAGTAGGGGTGATACAATGGATGTTAGACAGGCTTCATGACGAGGCACAGGGATCGCTGAAGGCGACGGTTCAAAGGTAACCTTCATTTTTAGCTCGATTGACTGCGATGATGACGTTTCCCGCATTATGTCTCCATACTGTATCCCTTCTATTGTCATGTGCCATCAGACAGAGGAGGACGAGCCAACATGTTATGACTTTTTGGGTGAGGTTGTTCTCTATAAGGATGCCTTAGAGGTGGGTTTAAGGTTCTCAATACCCGGACCCCTCTGTCAGATTCTGGGACACCTGTCGCTAGCTCCCTAGATATTGGCTCCCAACGAGTGGAAAGTGATCTTCGGGTTTTTCTCATTGTGGTGGCTAGTTCATAGTGCTGATTTTTCTCCTCCATTTGAGGAGTTTTTGGCCACATACGTGCTTCTGAACAATCCCTTTCCTTATCAAGGGTGGTATCATTTTGCACCGAGGTCGGCAAGTTCATCATTTGGCTTCCTTAAAACTGTTATAACTGAAAGTCTAAGTTCTTCTTTTTTGGAAGCGAGTGGACGACCGAGGGTGACCGTGACCTTGTGCATTTGTAGTAGGACACCGTCTTGAGGACCAAGCTAGGTAAGAATTTCACTTTCGTTTTTACTTCTGGTCGTCACATATCTATTCTTACTGTGTGATTGGTTTTTATGTAGTTTCACCCACATTATTTGTGGAGCAGGAGAGTAGGCTCTAGATAGTTCGCGACCATCCTTTCAAGGAATTCTCGAAAATTATGTCCACATCAGATCCTCCCAAGGTTTCTCATAGGCCAAAGAGGAAAGGTATCTGATCCTTCCCATGGACCCTTGATGGTTTTGGCGTTGTAAGCTTTTTGCCTCACACCAAGTTTGTAGGTACTTCTATTGATAGGGCGATAGTGGAGGCTCTCTATACTTCTAGGGTGGCTTATTTCTCTCCTTCTTCTAAAAAGGCGAAGTTTGATGCCCCCAACACTTCTCACCTGGAGACTGTCGGTGTCGGGCCCATGAGTATGTTGGTAGACACAAATTTGGCGAGGGCATTTATCATAGCATTCTTCTCGTGGAGCACATGATGGATTTGGAAGTAAGTAAACCTTTTTAACAATACCTAGACCATTGATGGGTACTTTAGCATCTTTCCCTCCTTTGCTTCAAAGTCTCCCTTTACCTGGTTGACTATTAGTTGTGAGTCACTATAGGCTGTCAAGTAGAAGGCCTTCATCTCCAATGCGAGCTTCAAGCCTGATATGAGGGCCTCATATTCAGTTTGGTTGTTGGATGTTGCAAAGTGGAGGAAGACAGCGTACTTGAGTGGAGTGTTATAGGGGCTGATCAGCACTAGTCTTGCGTCGTCGCCTTCATTGGTGGAGGACTCATCCACGCATAGTCTCCAATATGGTATAGTAAATGGTAATGAGGGCGCAAAGGGCTCTCGTGGAGTAGGCACAAAGGAGCCAGGTATCTCTAGTCTCGGAGTGTGGTCTCCCAAGGCCTGTGGAGCTGTATCCGAGATGTCAGGCTATCTCGAGATTGTATCTGGGCTTGCCTCATGATGGGTGGAGGCATTATGCACTCAACATGCGAGCTTAGGGGAGTGTGATACTTCCTCCTGGGATTCCTATGGTGGTGTAGACTCCCGGACTTCTGTGGCGGTGTAGACTCTCGTGTGTATCAGAGCTAGTCCTTGTACCGCTGTGGGATTTGAGACTCCAGTGTGGTCTTCTACAGGGACTGTAGCTCCACATAGCTTCCCTATTTCTAGTAGTGACTCGGTGTCCATGCTTCGACGTGAATTTGGGCAATGAGCGACTTTGGAGGTCTGTGACTCTCGAGAATATCAGAGAGGTTGGATCTTGAGGTTCAGAGGGTATTATCAATATCTCAAGTAAGGGATTTTTCATGGTATGTCTTTCTTCTCAACTTTAATTTTGTACTCGCATCTTTTCCTTCATGTTTTGCTTTTTTGAATGCTTGTAGCTGGCTGTCGCTTTTCCCTGCCTTTTTTTAAGAACAATCAAGCTTGGAGAGGCATTCAGAGTTCTAGTAAGAGAGAGGCAAACACAAGAGATTGCTGAGAAGAAGTTGAGGTTGGCTCATGAGAGAAGGCTATTGTGGCAGAGGTTTATAAGGAGACTATCTGCGCGAAAACAGAGTCAGAGCTGCGAACGCCCCGTGAGAGGGCCGCAGGATCTGAGGCTGAGCTATGTATAGCTCAGGAGATTACTGTCATGGCAGAGGCTTATAAGGAGACTAGCTGCACGAGAACAGAGTCATATTTGCAAACGTCCCGTGAGAGGACCGCAGGAGCTGAGGCCGAGTTACATATAGCTTGGGAGATGGTTGTCATTGCAGAGGCTTATAAGGAGACTATTTACGGGAGATCAAAGTCGTAGCTACGAACATCCTATGAGAGGGCCGCAGGAGTTGAGGTTCAGTTATGTATAGCTCGGGAGATGGTTGTCATGGTAGAGGTTTATAAGGAAACTACCTGTGCGAGAGCAAAGTCATAGCTACGGATGTCCTGTGAGAGAGTTGTAAAAGTTGAGGCTGAGCTACGTATAGCTCAGGAAAGAGCTGTCATGGCAGAGGCTCATTCTATTGAGATGTAGATGAGGAGGGAGGCTGCTGAGAAGGCCATTGCAGACACCTTTATTAATGGTTATGAAGAGCTTGACAACTTTCTATGCTATTGATTTCTCTAGCTTTGCCTCATATGAGACACTAGGGGTAGATGGTGATGAAGAAAGCCTTGCTGATAGTGACTGGGGAAGCAATGAATGATCATCAGGAGTATGCTGACTTTTATCTTTTTGTCTACCTTGTTATTAGATCATATTCTGACTTTTGTAAGTTGTTTACAAACTTTATGAAAGCAAGACGGTTCTGGACACAATAATCTTCGCAGAATTTTATTTCATAAATAATAGAAAAGATCAACTAAAACAATAAAGGACAAATTAAATGAGAGCCACTAGCTTATGCCCGCTATTGATAATAGCTCTTCAGTTGGAGTCACCTCCTCTTCCAAACCCACCGGAGATCTTCTAATTTCTTCGAGGGGTTGCTTGGGCTTTTTGTCATTTTGATTTTTGTCAGGTGGCAGGTTTTGTCTTCTGCCAGTAACCTACTGCCACAAATGGCCACGCTATATTAGCTCCTTGATTTGCCTTTTAAGATCAAAGCATTCATCAGTATCATGGTCGTGTTCGCGATGGAAGCGACAGTATTTGTTTGGGTTCCTACAGTTCAGGGCAGTCTTCATCTTCTTTGGTCAGCATATTGTAGGATCATCTTATATTTGGAATAGGACATGCTCCACAAAAGTATTGAGTGGCGTAAAGGTTGGCCACTCTCTTAGAGGCGGGGGACCAAGACGGTCCTTGACAGAGACTCTTTTTGTTCTATTCTTTTTGTTCTTTGCTTCCTGCTTGTCCTCACAGGTGTCTTTCCTCTTATCGCCCCCATGGAGGGACTCACCTCATCTGGCCTTTGTGACATCCTTGCGTTCATGTACTTTTGTGCCCTTCACAGCAACTCGGGCATGCTGGATGATGGTTTTTTTAGGACAGAGAACATGAAATTGGAGTGCAGACCCGCGATAAGGAGACCATGGTCACCTTGTCGTCTGGCTCCTCGATCTAAAGAACCTCCTCCTTAAAACAATTGAGGTAGCTGCTCAAACTTTCATCCCGATCCTGTTTGATGGTGAGCAGGTGGGTAACCGGCTTCTGGTGTTAGCATCCCCAATGAAGTGGGAGACGAAAGACTTGTTTAACTTCACAAAGGATTGGATCGAAAAAGGCTTGAGCTTGGCGAACCACTGGCGTGCGGATCCCTTGAGGGTGGTAGGGAAGGATCTACACATAATTTCATTAGATACATTGTGGAGTTGAATGAGAGATTTGTATATGTCAAGATGGTCGAGGGGATCTTTGGTGTCATCAAAGATCTCAATGGCAAGAATCCTAAACTTTGAGGGTAAATGGTAGTTGACAACAACTGCAACAAACGAGGTATTAGTGCACCTTATCAAGTCATCCATCGTCTCCGGTGCCTGTGCTTTGATGGCGTTAAGGGCATCACGAGTTAGTTTTGCACATCCCTGATCTTCTAGTCCCATTGGTTGGGGATGTCCTCTGTTGGGTCATTGTAGTGACTTTTATGATCAGCATATTGGCTATCTCCTTCATCCTCTTGCGCAGGTACATGAGGAAACGGAACACTTGAGCTTCCTACGAGCTGAGGAGGGACTCCCGAACTAGGGGCGCCTTGGCGCTGCTCGGGAGCGCTCTGATACTGGGCCCCAAGGTGGGCGCCCTGGCGCCCAGAGTGGTGATGTTGTGGCACCTCTCTAATTGGGGGAAGTACTACTCCCACAGGCTAAGGGGCAACGCCTCCCGAGGCGAGCATTAGCTGGATGATTTGCTAGCTTTGGCTTACCAACAACTACATGGTCTCCAAGAGTTGTTGCCCGACCACGGGGGTTACTGCAATAGATGGTTCCGCTATGCAAGTGGAGGCAGAGACTCCTCTCGACAGTCTGGGTTATTATCCTCCGGTTGTTGACTCATCGACCTGGTCGTGATCGCCGTAGAAAGTAGTAGGATAATAGAAAATTTAGTCGTTTCCCATAGACGAAGCCAAACTGATGATGCACAAAACAGGTTTATGCAAGATCAACAGTCGAGTATATGATAAAGTGTAATTAATGGACAATTAATAGAGCAATCAATGACAACAATATAAATATCAAGTCAACACACAGATATATAGTGGTTCGGTTCGGGTGACCTACTCCACTCTGAAAATGGACAATGGTGGTCGGGGGACCTTTATTGGTTAGAGAGATAGAGAGAGAGCAATGGTTAGCTCCATGAGGGATACAATAGATAGGAGAGAGAA